TCCTTTTTGCGATTATAACTTAGAATTACATCCTTAATTGATTAATGTAAGGGGTTTGAAATATACGTTTAGAATCGCACACGATAAATATTTTCTGAAAATAGGTATTGGATAGAACCAGCCCAAGTGAAAGCCTGGATCTTACTGTTAGCCCAAAGTACGATAAGTATTTCACATTTTTCAGCAAAGCGCGCAGACAAAATCGTTTTATATCCTCGGCTGTGGAGCAGGCCTAGCCCAGTTATAAAATATCTCTTGAATTCTTCCAGCCTCGTTGAGTTGTACGGAGCGACCTTCTAGATGTTCAATCGTCAGCCCATGCATATCTAAGAATAGAAAGCGGCCATATTCTATTTCATTTGTAAAGATTGAATGATCATTTGGCTATTGTTGAACGGTTATAATGAAAAAGTTTTCCTTTTTTAACCACTTAGGAAAGGCAGATTTGTAACATTTAAATGACAATACGGAGTCTCACAGTAACTTACAAGGTCATTAAGGACGCAACCAAGTGGAATATGATACTTATCATATCTGCATCTACTTGCTAACTATGAATAAATAGGAATGTAAGTGCAAATAATTTTTGGTTATAAAAACTCATGTGTACCCTATAACCAATAAAATTGGATTTGGATATTGAATCAAATAAAAGGAAGAGCTATGCATATAGAACAAATAAGATAATAATATATAATATTGAAAAAATAAATATATATAGTTATATGATGCAAGTGTTTGTTTAAATGATGCAAAATTTCATTTATCAAACACCATTAGTATTTCTGACATGTCTAGAAAGTTAAAATTAGCTTGCATCACAGAAGTTTGTTTTAGATTTTCTTGCGGTACTCAAAGCAATTTTAACTGTGTGATCAACACGCACAAATTCAAATATTGAAAGGCAAATCCAAGTAGTAGTTTACTCACATATCATTAGAAGGACACTTGTCCACGTATCCCGTCTAGCTAGATCATACTTCTTTTAAAAGTACGAGTCGGGGAAAATCTTTTCATGGTTAATATTACCCTTCACTTTTTTTTAAATATTATATTGTTATCCTAATCTATTCTAATTTTCCTACCTTCTTTGAATTTATAATTAAATAAAATTTATCCTATCCATAATGAGACTTAACATGTTATTGGATAAAGAAGATATGTTTGATATAATTCAAATCTTTTACTTATTTTATTTTACAGAGAAATCTAAAAAATATATGTTGGCCAGCACCTAAAGTTTTTGGACCTTGTAAAAAATATCCTCCAGGTTTTTAAAATTACAAAAATACCCCTATAAATTTAAAATTTTATTAAAACATCTTAAAAATTATATTTTTTTATTTTAATTCAGTGAGAAATCTAAAAAATATATGCTAGCTAAAAAATAAAAGTTTTTAACATTAAAAAAAGTATCTTGTAAGTTCTGAAAAATGTAAAAATATATGCTAGCTAAAAAATAAAATTTTTTGACATTGGAGAAAGTAGCTTGTAAGTTTTGAAAATACAAAAACACTCCTAAAAATTCAAAATTTATAAAAAACACCTTAAAAATTTTAAACCTATAAAAACACTAAAAACCTACAAATAACACAAACAACCCCCAAAAATTTATGAAATTTGTAATAAAAACTCTAAACTTTTTACAAATTGCAAGATAAAACCCTCAAGATTGTAAAATTTATAAATATCCTAATATATTTTAATCTAACAGTACATTGAAAATATAGGAGTTACAAAAAATCCCCTTCATAAGTTATAATTTATAGAAAACACCCTTAAAGTTTTAAAAATTACAAACAAACACTCAAAATTCAAAATTTACAAAAAGAACCATGAGAATTTAAAACTCATTAGTAAATAAAAAATATAGGAATTATAAATAGTCTATAAATAATTTACAATATGTAGAAAATGCCTATAAGTTTAAAAATTACAAAAAATCAGTAGTATTCATAATTTACAAAAAAAACACCATGAGAATATCTAACCTATAGACACTAAAATGAATATACAAAATTACTAGCAACCCCTAGAAAATAAAAAAAGTATAAAAAATATAATACTCCCTTTAAAAGTATACGTTTAGGAAAAGCTTTTCATGATCGATATTACCCATAATTTTTTTAAAAAGAACATAACTAATTGAAAATCTATTAGATTTAAAATTTACAAAAAAACAAACTTAAAGTTTAGTACATTGCAAATTACCCCTCCAAAGTTTGAAATTTTTAAATGATTTTTTGTATTTTCTTGATTTTAATATATTTTTTAATAGTTTTGTGTATTTGTAAATTATAAAAGTTTAAGGTATTTGTTTTTACAATTTTTAAAATTTTTAAGGGTGCTTTTTTTGTAGTTTTCTAAATTTTTATTATGTTTTTAGTGTAATGCATAGATACATAAATTAATAATGATACTGAAGAGTAAGTTGTTCTTAAAATGTATTAGGCTAAAGTACACACATCATTATTCGTAGGCAGTATAGTTTATACATGCAAAAATTTTCAAACAATCTATACAGTGGTTAAAATATTTTTGACTTTAATGTACTATTTTTTTACAAATTATATTTAATGTGAACCCACCATATAATTTTGACCGTGGTTATTATAATTTTAATACATTTAATCGATTGACGATATATGTATATAGACCACATATTACTTTACTTTCTCACATGAACTAATATTTAGCATTTAATAATTTAAGTTATTGCTTTTAAATTTAATATAAAGAGGAGTTTTAATAATATTTATTTATTTAGCTACAAGATAATACAATTTCTATTTCTATTTTTACTTGAGATTTATTTCATAGTTACACGTATCAAATTAGTAACTAAAATAATAAATATTTATTCTTAAATTATGATGATTGTAGTTGGTCACTCACAATAAAATTTTTATGAAGATATATACATTATTTTCTATAGCTATTTGCATTGCTCATGTATATTTTATAAATTAGTTGTTAATTTGACATATTAAATTACTTTACCTTTGTAGAAATTTTTACTTAGACTTTTGGATAGTGTAATCACTATGTTACCATTCTAGCATAGAAAGGACCTCATTCTAAATGGCTTCAAGCCAATGTTTAAGTTGAACTGAAGTATATACTATTGCTACTTTGTGTATATATTTTTAAGAAAGTAACGTCGACACTTTTTAAACAAAAAATAATATCCCAACCTCTGATATTATAAAAATAAAATATAGCCAATTGAGTGACTAGCAAAGAAGAACTTTCATCAGAAAAGTATGAATAATAAGATAAAGAGGAAATGTGATGACATTGCCAACAATATTACTAATAGCAAACTACAATGTAAAGTTAACTTATTTTGTGGAGCCCAATTACTAGCTATAAGCATCGAGGTTTCCATATGTATAATTTATTAAAAATGGTATATAATCTTAGATAATAAAATTGAATAAATACTAAATAGTAATATCATTGTAAATGAGCAATTACAAAGATGTTAGGGACTAACATGTATGTATTTAAGATTTCAGGACAAATATCTTAATAACCTATTTATGCAAGAACGCCTACTTTGTCACCTATTATATTCATTTTTCTCCTTGCACATTCTCCACCAATTTTGTTGTCACACCCAGACATTAATAGAATTGATGTCGGTGAGGTCTTCTCTCCCTCTATCCCTTGATCTCATATTTTTTTAAATTAGTTTCTTTAATTCTTTTTAATAATTTCTTAGATCCATTTTATGCTTCATTCTGTGAAGTGTCTTGTTAGATTCAATTTAAATATATTTTTATTTTAATTATTATTTTTCCTATTTATGGGTCATTTAATCACTAGAATGTTTAGGTCTTTTCACCCATTTCATGTTTTGAATTAATAGTTTATTTTAGAGAATTTTTAAAAAGATCACTTTTAAAAATATTAGAAAAAACGAATGTTTTACCTAATAATCAACAAAATTGACCTCTTTATTCTACACCATCAAGAGTGTAAAAAAGAAGTCAATTTTGTAAAAAACCCATCTTTAAAATACACGGGAGTAATAGTCCCGTGCATTTAGAGAATATTAATTACAAAAGTAATTAAAGTCAGAAAATATACGGACTACCACTCTTGCATATTTTGTAGTTCGAACTAGAAAATACATGAGACTATTGTATATGTCATATATACAATATAATTGCTCCATGCAAGTAAGTTATAATAGCATTTTCCATTTACATTGTTTGGGGTAAGATTTGATAGGGACCTTACATCAAAGAATTTTTTTATATTTAAAGTACATGACAAAATATATCATAACCTCCCTACTCTAATTTCGTAAGAAAATAATTCTTCATATATTTAGTTTTACTTCTATGGTATAGAGAATGAGCTATAAAATTGAATGAGAATAGTAGATAATGTAAATAGGAGCGAAACCACAACTAAAAATTAATATGAATATGAGTCAAACCACAACTAAAAGTTTAACGGACATATTGCAAGTAAATTCATATGCAAAATTCCTTAATTTGCAAATTGAATGGTCACCCATCTTTTAAAGATTTCAAGATACCAATAAACAAAGATATAGTACTAGATCAATGTGTTTATAACTCACAAATAGTAGATCACGTGGCGACAATCTGAATTGAAGGAAACAATGACAATATTTCATTTGAAAAAGAGATTATTGAGTTGATGATCAATCCAGCAAAAAACTTTATTTTCTCTTTTTTTTATTCTATTTTTATCAATCCACGTGCATTGCACGTGCAATCCAACTAGTGATTGCTAAATGAGGTAGAAACTGATGTCAAGTAGTTGTGTTTTCTAATTCGTATATGCGCTACAAGGGGACTAAGCGAATATATTTTAGGGTCTCCATGTGCTCTGCATTCGTAAACATCGGTCACACACAGCCCATTCAACTGAGGCCGATAACAGCCAATCAAAGGGGTACAGATCTAATAATAAACTTTATCCCCATAATTCCTCCCTTTGTTTGAAGCGTTATAATTTTCACGCGTCTTTGTGTTGTGGAGATCTACAGCACCACGCGCTCTCGAGCATCTTTTCCTTTCCTTTAAACGCACTCCATTCGTCTCTCGATCCAATTAATTACAGCTACGTCCCCATCTCCATCACAATATTCTGAACTCAATCCCTCCCATGGCTCCCCTCATCATCTACACTCTCCTCTTCCTCTTCACTCTCCTCTCCTCCTCCCTCCTCATCAAATCCAAGAAACCCTCTCCTCCTCCGGCAACGACGAGGCCCCCTCCGATGATGATTGAGATCGAAAACGGGAGGAAGAGCGATCTCGAAACGGTGTTCTCATCCTTCGACAGCAACGGCGACGGCCTCATCACCTTCCAGGAGCTCCTTGACTCCCTCACAAGGCTTCGGCTGTCCGTCACGCCTGATGACGTTAGGAGCATGATGGAGAAGGTGGACCTGAACGAGGACGGGCTGATCGACGTCGAGGAGTTCAGAGTGGTGTACGATTCGCTGCTGCTGATGGACGGTGAGGGTTCGCTGATGAGGGATGTGTTGTGCGCAGCGGAAATTTCGGCAGCACCTCCGGTGCGCAAGGTGCACAACAAGAGATTAGATCACAACGGAATTCTCGCTTCTCAAAGGAAACAAGAACCGAAAGCCAGATATCTCATCAAAGTGAGATATCTGCTCTTCCTCTCGTCAGCTCTAAGACTGCGCGTCGAGGGTCCTCTCGTCAGCTCTAGGACTGCGCGTCGAGGGATCCTACAAGCTATTACAAATCACGGCAAGAACACAATTTTTTACGTGGTTCGGCAAATAGCCTACGTCCACGGGGCAAGGAGGGGGAGATCTACTATTAGAGGGAGAGATACAACTAGGGTTTACAATCTCACAATCTAAACCCACTCAAACAAACTCTCAAATCCCTCTTACAAATATTCTCTCAAAGGGATGCACAAATAAAAGAACAACTCCCAACAAAAGCTTTGCTTTTCCTCGTGTTCTTCACCTGCAGCCGAAAAATCAAATCCCCAGCTCTCTGTGCAATTGATCTCCTGTAGCCGCAAAAACCATACCCAGCCTCCGCACAAAAAAAAGCCGCTGCTCTTTTTATTCCACCGAAAACCCTAGGAACAAAAAGGCTATATATAGCCAGGTCCCCCACGCGGTTTTCCTATGTCCCAATTTCCTTTTTTTTTTTTTCGTTGTGGCCCCCACTTGACGCGTGAACAAAAGACGTGTTCACAATTCTCCACCTCGGTGAAGTTTCTTCTAAAAAACTGAGCCGACACCAAAGCAACCAAATGTCCCACTTGTTGTGTCCAGTACGAACTCAATCCACAACAAGTCGAGAACCCGAACGAGAGTCCAAACGATCTTACCCCCATCAATTAATCCAAACCGGCTGCATCGTAAAGACTGCCTACGTATCCTCTTGCCCAAGGAATCAAGCCTCACGTAGTTCATCCAAATGGCCTCCAAAGGCCTCAACACCGAAGAATGTTCAGAAGCTCCAAACAATGACCAAACTTAACGCCTGAAACAACTTTGGTCAACATATCCGCAGGGTTGTCCTTCGTGTGGATCTTCTCCAATATGACGTCTCCTTCATCCAAAACGTCACGAACAAAATGGAATCTGACATCGATATGCTTCGTGCGTGCATGATAAACCTGGTTCTTCGCCAAATAGATAGCTGACATGCTATCACAATATACCCGAAGGGTCTCCTGTGCGATCCCCAAGTTCTCCAATAATCCCTGCAACCACAAAACCTCCTTCACAGCTTCAGTCAACGCCATATACTCTGCCTCCGTAGTGGAGAGAGCCACTGTAGAATGAAGTGTGCATCTCCAACACACCGGTGCTCCTGCTAGTGTAAACACATATCCGCTAGTAGACCGGCGCTTGTCCAGATCCCCCGCATAATCAGAATCCACGTAACCAATACAATCCTGCCCTGTCTTCTCATTCTTCTGAAAATACCAAACAAACATCCACGGTACCCATTTGATAAGCCGTTCAGAATCACTTACGGCTCCAACTGACCTTCGGGGTCTGCATCCGTACCTGGCTACCATGCTCCTGGGCCTGCTGACCTAAATCTGGCCTTTACAGCACCATCGACTAATCAGCTACCCACCAGCAATTGGCATATGGATGACTTTGGACATGTATTCCGATCCTCACCTGAAAAAGGTGACATCTTAGGTATAGCTTAAAAGTGGGAGTAATGGACGTACTCAACCGCTTGGCATTGCATCCATAACTCGAATTATCTTCAGCATCTTCTGCAAGTAAGCTCTTCTGTGCAACTTCAACTTACCCTTCACCCTGTCTCTCCTCGATCTCATACCATTATCTTTCTTTGGCTTCTCCAAGAACCTTCATCTCAATTCGGATGACAGATAGTCCTTTTTTCAACTTTCTAATACTGAATATTCCTGGAACTATGAGCATATCGTCACATATAATAACCGGCATACATGATATCTCCCAATGTCTGTAGATTGTGGCATGTAAACACACGGTTATGGGACTCCTCGTGTACCCTCCGGCAATCATAAGCCGTCGAATCTCTTGTACCATCTGTCGCGCGATTTGCGTTCAAATCGTAAAGAGAGCTTCTTCAGCTTGCAGTACACTTCATTCTTCCTGCGGGCTTTGAACCCATAGGTTGTGGTCATGGTAGATCCTCCTCTTTCTTAAATCCTCATGTAGACAGCTGTTTTCACATCCATTAGAGGCCATCTGGACCAATCCAAAATCCAGCTGTGCCAACATGCATTAATAGAATCGACGCAACTGCTCTCACAACAGGTGAAAATACCCTCATTGTAATAACGCGCTCCAGAAACTAGCTGTGCATATCCTTGGCAACCAATTGTGTTCTTGAATCCTTTTCCCAATAGAGGATACGCTCTTACCTCTTTGCATATAACCCCACTGCGTGCACTCCAATCAGCCTTCTACCTTTCGGGCTAGATTTTGAGTTCCAGTGTCTTCTTATGAGAGAGCTGCATTCTTCTCCCCATGGCTTCTCACTATCTCGAATCAGAGCTTGAATCTGCTCTTGAATGTAAACAGGAACCAAATCATCCAATGACTTCTCTGAAAAGCGTATGGCACCATCCGCATGCGTTATATCAAGCTGGCCGAGCGAATGTTTCTTCTTTGGTCTATTAGCTGCATTGGAACTCCTGACACAGTGACGAATCGTTCCTGAGTCCCAACATCCCTGATATCCTCGTAAATCCCGCTGTCATCTCATGTCCTCAAGTGCAGCCTTCTGTACGGGCTCATGGTTACAATGGTTCATTGGAGCTTGGTGGAGTTCACATCATCTCTCACCTGCTGCGATTCCCACTGTCTGGTCTTTCTCCAACGTGCTGAGGAACTTGAGGCTTCATCATCGTACAGCCGCATGTGACATACACCTCGGCTAATACTATCTTCTTGTCCTGTGGACCTCCCATAACTTGAGCTTTAATCTCGCATCATCTAATCCACAAAGACTGCTTTCCTTCGCCCTCCTCTGCGTGGATTATATTTAACCATCACTGACGATGGTAATAAGCTGGACACCCAAATATCCGAAGCGACTCATAGTCACATAGCTACCTACAACAACGCGAAACAACAAACCGGCCTTTTCCAACGGAGGATCTCCCCTGTAGCTGAGTGCAGCCGGCAGACTATTCACGTGAGATGTGCTCGCATAAACGAACGTTCGGCCGCAAAAGGATCTTGACAGATCCACTCTGTGTCATCATACCATCGCCTTCTCACGAGGTCGGACAGCAAGTACGATTCAATCTTTTTTATCCAGCACCCGTATCTTGTTGGGTGTCTCAGACTTGTGAAAGTGTCGCTAATGCCGTGATCCGGCAAACTGCAGAAACCGGATCACTTCTTATACTCTCGCAAGCCGTTATCGAACGTCAGAGTCTCACGTTTCACTGTCTGCAGCTGCACTTTCTTTTCCAGCTCCACAAAAACTATCCAGGACACTGATGTTTATGCTCTATCGTGTATACCGAATGCCTTCTGGAATAGTCATTCAATGAAGTGACAAAATAGTTGCCCACCCAAGTGATGTGTGCTTGGAAGGGCCCAAACTCTGTGTGAATTAAGTTCAATATACCTTTGGTATTATGTGAATAGCGTGCGCGATTTCACTCTTGTCTTACTTCCAAGTCATGCAATGTTCCGCAAGCTCCATTCCGTTGGCAGGATTTCGCCCTTCAAACTAGCCGCCTGCTCTCCCGCAATACCTGGCAGGGGGACTTATCACCAGAGATTGTCCAATCTCATGTGCCATAATCTGGTTAGTATCCTTCTCTGTGGTAATCGAGCGCCAAACCCCTTTACTGTCTTGCCTTCAAAAGTAGTAAAGTTTGTTTTCTGACACCTTCGTCACGAACAATCTGGGACCCCCCTTTGTGACCTCAGAGTTGCCATTGCTCCAAGATCACCATTATGCCAGCCCTGCCTCCAAAGTTCAGCGAATGAATTTTCGTCAAGTTGGGGAGCGAATCCCTTCCTGCAGGGCCCCGAGTCCTCGTCAACAGCACATTGGTCGGATCGTACTGTACCAATACCACCAATTAGGGCATGCGTGATCATTTACGCATGAGTACGACATGTACATTCTTTCCATCTCACAGCTCGAGAACGAGCCAATCCTCCTAGGGGCAAATATGGTATGTGCGAAAGATCCATATCCACGTCTTCTAGAGTCAGCGTACAACGACGGGTGAATGGCAAGCAAGAATAGCCTGAAGAATCCGTAATCCTGAATTGTCGTACTGTCAGCCTTGACAACATCACATTCCGAAGCTTGATACAGCACTTTCCAGTTTTTCTTCCCAGCTTTGTCTTTCAGCTTGGGACCGTCGTTCTTACACAATGTCCTTGCTTCTTCTGCAAAAGCGACCATTGATTCTAGCCAATATTCTTGGCCACCCTCTTGGATCTCGATCGTTGCGCTCTGCAATCACCCTGGACGACGGTTTGGACCACGCCTGTCAGACTGCTACATTTAGCATTCCCAGCTCTCGGAGGGTTGCCATCACTCTTTCGCTCACTCATAATTACGCAAAGCTTGAGGTCACTCTTGTAGCTAACCCGTAGTCTTCCATTTATCATAGTGAGAACAAACGTTCCGAAAACATGCCTCTGCAACGAACACAAAAGTAGGCATCGCCTTTGTCTTTCATGCCCTCAACACATTGATATCTCATGGCCATGTCCGAAATTAACTTCGTGAAGTTGTTACACAATGCTCCGAATGGAAACTCCCCTCTTCAATCTTGAATCTGGTAAATACCTCTTCTTTCAAGTGGAAGCCCGAATTTTTCTCCCAATGCCTCGTCAGATACTTCTCGATTGAGTGTTTCCCACATTCTCTTCGCGACGTCTCGTTCATTACTCATAAAATAAGAATGCCGGCGTCAGCAATACCGAATACCCAGCAAGCCCTACTATTCATTTTTCCTTCGCAAACCTGTCTCACAATATCAGCGGTTTCTCTGTCACTCAAGAGTCTCCTCCAAATTTTGTGCATCCAAGGCGTCCATCACCTGACGACCCTCCACACCGAAATTGCATCTTGCCGTCGAACTTCGGAACATAGCAAATTTTGTTTATTGATGGCTTCAGACTTTGTATGCCTTTGAAAGAGACGATCCCCGATGTGCTTGTTTCTCCATGGTTGTCGATCTATAATCTTCAAAAATGGAATCCTTCAGCGAATCCTTCGCAGAGCTCCAAGTCCAACCCGGAGGCTCTGATACCTTAGCTTTAGAAGACGAATTTCGGCAGTAACACACCTACGGTGGCGCAAGGTGCACACAAGAGATAGATCAGCAACGGCTGCGCGAATCCTGTCGCTTCTCAAAGGAAACAAGAACCGAAGCAGATTTATCATCAAGTGAGATATCTGCTCTTCTCTCGTCAGCTCATAAGACTGCGGTCGAGGGGTTCTGTCGATAATCGTCAGCTCTAGGACTGCGCGTCCGAGGGATCTCTACAACTATTCAATCACGCAAGAAGCACATTGTTTTACGGTGTCGGCAATAGCCTACGTCCACCTGGGGCAGGAGGGGGAAGATCTATATTAGAGGGAGAGATACAATAGGAGTTTTCAAATCTCCACAATCTACAACACTCAAACACTCTCAGACATCGCTCTTACAAATATTCTCTCAAGGGATGCACAATAGAAAAACATCCCAACAAAGCTTTGCTTTTCCCTCGTGTTCTTTGAACGCTGCAGCGATAAAATCAAATCCCGCTCTCTGTGCATTTACTCTCCTGTAGCCAAAACATCACCCAGCTCCGCACAAAAAAAAAGCGCTGCTCTTTGTATTCCACACCGAAAACCCTTAGGAACAAAGAGCTATATGTACCGCGTCGCCCCGCGGTTTCCTATGTCCCAATTTCTTTTTTTTTTCGTTGTGGCCCCACTTGACCGTGACAAAAGACCGTGTTCATCAGGAAATGCTTTCGGTTTTTGACGGGGATGGCGATGGGGTTATAACCGATGGAGGAGCTTGGGGCGGTTTTCTGAGCGGGGATGGGAGGACGGAGGGGGTGGAGGAGTGTAGGGACATGATGAAGGAGGGTAGATAGGGATGGAGATGGATGGTAGCTTTGAGGAGTTTAAGGAGATGATGGCCTGGTTAAGGATGGTTAGTTATTTTAAAAACGCCCAGCTGCTGGTTGTGTTAATAATCTACTAACAATCTTAATTATCAGTTGATCATCAGGTCATCGCAAACAGCTTGAATATATGTATTATGGGGAAAATGCAAAATAGACCGTTTTGCTAATTATTTAGCCAAATAGACCGTTTGTGCTAAATAATTAGCAAAATAGACCTTTTTTTTTGGCCAACGAGGCGCAAAAGAGGTCTATTTGCAAAAACGCTTCAGAAAACATACGGGACTAGTAGGTCCATATTGTTTTAAATCACCGCATTAGTAAATTTTCTAGCTCAGAAAAATACGGGACTACTAGTCTCGTATGTTTTTAAGTCACTATTCCGGATAGTTGGGCTCTAAAACATCGGGACTAGTAGTCCGTATGTTTTCTAGCATTATTTTTAAAATCGACCTCTTTTTTCAAAGAGGTCTATGTTTGCTAATTATTTTTCAAGTGGTCTATTTAGCTATATATTTCATAAAAATGGTCTATTGCAAAATTTCCCT